TAAACCCTACCCTAAGCGAATTATAATGACAAAACCGGAGCGCTGTTTGAGTTAGCTTTAGCGTCCATGCTTTTAGGTATGAAGTTTGGCAACTGGAGCTTTATTTAAAAGGTTTGGCTTGGGGTCTCGGGCATTTTGTTTACGGAGAAGGCCGCGACAACTGAACACTTAGACACGGCACTCTTACATCCATCTCATGAGCAGACACGCTGAACGGTGTAGTCATCCATCCCAAGCTTGGGATCCAAAATACTTGAACGTCACTTGGGTTCTTCCGCGTGCCAAAGCTACTCACTCGCTGTTGCGACACATCGGCCCAATTTCTGGAGGCTAATTGGGGGACCTCAATCATTACAAATTGCGGTATGTTGTGCAAGCATAATGAGGAACCCTCAAAAATAATCTTCGTAATTGTTTGAGCTTCTACATTCCCCCATGGAATACAAGCCAGAGTTGCCGGGCGTGCCTCCATCCATCTCCTCGGCCTCTGACTTGCATCGGTCGTCCTTGTCTTCAGGGCTCAGGTGTTAGGGCTTAGGGTTTATAGGGGTTTAGGGTTTAGGGGTTTAGGGTTTATAGGGTTTAGGGTTTCTAGGCCTTAGGGCTTAGTTTTTAGGGTTTAGGGATCGGACTTATGCTTGGCTGAACCATGACGCCTGAAACGCCGCGGTCGCTGCAAAAATCACAAGTTTTGTTCAGGGCGTGGGTAGGACCTACCCGCCCTAACTCCTTCAGCCTAGAAGGGAAACGAGAAAAGGCAACAGGGCTTGAGGGCTTTTAGGGTTCAGGTGAGATCTCCACCAAACCTTATCCGCTGTAGCAAGTGTATACCGAAATCTCCGCCCATGAAGGCGAACACTCTGGGGAACACCTCCAATCCACTGTCTTCTCACGATTGACGACTCCTGAAACCATGCCCAAAATATCCCTCGCAGCGTCATTTTGAAAGGCTCTTCTAGGGATCAACGTCTAATCCGTGGGCTTTGTTTAGTCTTTTGGTGTAACACATAGACGCACTGTCGACTACAACCTGTGACTTCTGAACAGATCCCAGCATCATCCGATCTATGCGCTTGACCAGCTTCCAGCTTTGAAGGAAGCTCCTTAGCTGCTCTTAGAGAATGAGAACTACAAAAACAACATGTCTGATTAACCCTTAAGTTAGACCATATAAGTTAGACCATAAGAAAACAAAACATAATGCCTAAGAAGAGTGAAGGCTCTACGGACATGCACGAGACGTGCCAACAGACCCGCCGTTGCACGTAGGCATCCGCGTCACGCGTCTACGACTACAACTCTGATCCAAAGAAGCTGCGCAGTTTCCTTTCGGCAGGCTGGTTTGAGAGTTTCAGGTCTAGAAATCGGGACAACCATTGTCTGTAGGAACGAAAGGTTCTAATTACCCCTAACTCCCAAAACACAAAACCTGTAAAGCCCATGGCTGCCCTTCAACCTTAGGAGCCGATGCCCCTCAATCTCAAGCCCCAGGCTGCAAGGCCCCTGCACATTGCCTAAACAGTAGAGGGAGGGAGCCTGATTAAGGAAATAACTACGATGAGCAGCACTCTGCATCGCAAACAGCGAAGCTCATCTATGGTTTGATGAGAGGCTTATAGGGATTATGGGGTTGGTTTAAGCTCTTGAGGCCGAACATGCCGGGCATGGTGGGGGAACTATTTTCGATCATTCTATCACGCAGAACGGTGAATGCGTGCAAAAGACAAACAAATGCAACCACTGATGTGCTTACGTGTCTGCATGTATATGTACATGTATGTGTGTTTGTGTATATGTCTGTGTATATGTGTGTGCATGTGCATGTGCTGTATGTGTACATGTACGTGTGCATGTATGTATGTATGTAGGTATGTATGTGTGTATAGGTATGTAGGTATGTAGGTATGTGAGCATGCATGCATGCATGGATGGACGGAGGGAGGTATGGATGGATGGATGGAGTCATGTGTGTGTGTGTGTGTGTGTGTGCGCGTGTGTGTGTGTGTGTGTATGTATGCATCTATATGCATCTATGTACGTACGTACGTATGTACGCATGTATGCATGCATGCATGGATATATGTATGTATGTATGTATGTACGCAATGTAATGTAATGCACTGTAATGTATGTAATTATGTGTATATACCTATGTATTTGTGAATGTATAAGTATATACACAGGTACGTAAATGCTTAACTATACACCTATGTCTCTATGTGTGTGTATACATATATATATATATATATATGTATATGTATATATATATATATACAAATACACATATATGTGAATATAAATGTGCCAACCCACATACAACTGTTGCACTGTTTCCAGCGAGAGAGAGATAATAAACAAACACACACACACACAAACAACAAAGGCACAACGTTGGTAAGGTGGCAGGTATGTAGATAGATCGATACATACGTGCTTGCTGCTAATGCCAAACAACAATATATTTGGGGTCCTTTTAGGTCACCCCCAATGAGGAGGTACAATCGAGACTGAAGTCACTGTAGGTCCCGTAGATGGGATGTAATTAGCTAAACAGCCCCCTCCCATTCTGAGCTCGACACTGCCGCCAAGCCGTTCACGAAGGAAGGCTCCTCGATGGTCGGAGTCCAGAACCTGATACCAGTAACCCAGAGACTCCAATACCCATTAATTAGGGAATACTCCTTAAATCATATTAAGGATCCTACTATAATTTAAGGTATATTCCTTAATGAAGGGATATGGGAGTCTCTGGGAAAGGTTCCCTCGAAGGCGGAGGGAGCGGGCGGCGGGGCTTGGGGATCCCCTGAAAGTCGTGAATCTTCGACTCATAAGCCGTGGTCAACCCTGGGGCTCCAAATAGCCCAAAGTAGGGTTTAGGGTTTAGGGTTTAGGGATTATTTATAGACTTTAGGCCCCAAAGTAGGTACTATTTGTATACTTGGAGCCCCAGGGAAAGGTAAAGCCCAACCCCTCATAAACGCCTTATCCCTCAAGGCTAGACATCATCTTTCGACAGGAACTACAGATGCGAAACTCGCAAAAAAGAAGCCCAGAAACCCGGTCCAGACAGATCCATCAAGAGCTCTAAGACTCTAAGGCTCTAAGGAATCCCCCAAAGAACCCCCAAAGTATGTTTGAAGCCCATAAAATGCTCCTGATGGCACCCTTATAGCACCTTATTCTAGCACCCTATTATCATAACATTTCATAGTGCCCTAAAGAACCCCCATAGGGTATGTTTGAAACCCTAAACCCTAAACCCCTAAACCCTAAACCCCTGCACCCCTAAACCCGTAACCTTAAACCCTACGCCCCTAAACCCCTAAGCCCCTAACCTTATAACAACTAAACCCCTAAACCGCTGAACCCCTAACCTCATAAGCCCTAAACCCGAAACCCCTAAACCCTATCCTTCTAAGCCCTAACCCCAGTAACCTAAGAATAAGAAGGCCTCTCTTTTTGGCATTGGGTAACTTTATAAGGAACCTAGGACTACAAAAAGGGAATAAGGGCCCAAAGTACGCCCTTGGGCTCCCCCGCCGAAAGGCTGCCACCGCAAGGGCAACCACGGCCAGGCCCCGTCCGGAACTTCGGGCCATGCCTCGGAGGGTTTAGGGTTTAGGGCTTAGGGCTTAGGGTTTGGGGATAAGGGTTAAGGAGTTAGGGCTATATGTTTAGGGCTTAGGGTTTGGGGTTAAGCGTTAAGTGGGTTTAGGGTTTGGGGTTGAGGGTTTAGGGATTAGGGTCGGGCCATGCCTCGGAGACCCATGCAGAAACCTACTTTCTTGTAGGGTCCCCACAAATTCAACTATAAAGGTTCTTTATAAGAACCTGCAGAAAAGTCGGGCATGATAGTTTAAGGTGGGTCTTAGCTTATGCAAGGATGGATTAGGGCTTAGCCTGTAGGCCTCAGAAAGGTTTGATGGTGCTTTGGAATTCATCCTACCACATCACCGACCAAACCTCGAATATATTGGCTTTTGGGGGTTGTCTATTCTTCGGCTGGTTGGGACCCTGTTACTGCAATGAGAGATATGATCCAACAACAAGGGTAACCACAAGAAGCGACCATATGGGAGTTTCCGAAAATAGGGCGACCCTAATCTAGTACCCTAAATCGCAGGATCCTTCTTACAAGGACCCCCAAATAAGGTACACCGAATTTTCGGAAACTCCCATGTTCAAAAGGCCAGCCGTTGCATCGAAGCGGCTTGGGCGGTACTGAGGCAGCGCCAAGCGACGAGGCTGCGTGAGGAAGATGGCTGCGGCAGTTTGAGGCCCATGTCTCGGGGGGGACAAGATCTATATGGGTGGTTGTTTTGGGTCCCTAATATAGTACGGCACCAAATCTTTAGGGTACCCAAAATTAAAAAGGGACCATAGTTTTGACAACCACCCCTTTAGGGTATTGTATTAGGGTCCCCTGTTTTCGGAAACTCCCATATAGTGAATTCCAGAAAGTTGGAACATGGATTGAGGATGATTAGTGCTGGGATCCCCTATGCCTACTTTCAGGGCATGAGGACAATGATGTTCCAACTTTCTGGCGCCTACTGTAGGGCTGACGGCTTGGGATCTACGCAGCTTTGGGTTAAATGGAGCCGAGCTTTCAGGGGCTTATAACGTAAGGTTTTGCTTTTTGATTAGTTGGGCTCTGGGTTTACAAGCTCTGAGAGACTAGGGTGCAAGAGGCTCCAGGGTTCAGCGTAGGGCTTGAAAGCTTAGGGCTTGGGGTCGTAGCTTTTAAAGACCCTAAACCCTAAACCCAACTAAGATTTAAAGCCCTGAACGACGAGTTGATGGCGCTCCAACCTTTTCTCCTTCCTGCAGACGCTTTGAGGCCTGTTCCAAAGATGCGCGACACTTGGCAAGGGCCACAGCAACCTACTTTACGGGGAAAGCTTAGGCCCATAAGGCCCAGAGACTAGATGGACACACAACTGCTTATTGATGAAATTACCAAAGGGCTCTTCATGAGCCGCCACGACCCCCCCCCCACATCAGGTGGTGGGATCCTTAGGAGGTACCTCCTTTGGAGGGATATAGTCGGTTTCGTCTAGGAGCCCCTGGCCCCTCAGCCACTGCAGCTCGCCCTGCCACTCCTCCAAAAGCTTCTCACTTAAACTGGCAAACTGGGCTTTGAGAGAAGCCCTAAAGCATTCTATTGAGGATCTAGGTATGTCTAGGTTAACTGCAAACTCCTCCCCCCGCCCCCCCCCCAAGCAAGTCCTCAAGACCTTCGTACTTGGAGAGGTCGTTGCCTTCCACTTGCACCTGTTGGCTGGGATTCATACACGTGCCCGAATACTATGGCGAGCATGAAGGGACTCTGAGGACATTCCTAGGTTGTGTTTTCATCACGTGCATACGAACAGGTATACGGCGAAGATGCTGATAATCCTGTTCGAAGGATGACTTTTCGGATTTCGGGGATCCATGCTTGTTCAGGGTATATATATATATATACTATATATATATACACACACCCCATTCTGGAACCCGTATCCGTCATTACAACAATTCCGAAATCACAACACCCATCACCTCCGACACCCCTCTACAGACCTGATTCTCAAGCTACTGCCCCTCTGAGTCCTCAAGGATTAGAAGAGTCTTCCTGACTATAAGAAAAGTACCTAAACCCCCGAGAGTAGGTAAAATCATGGCCGAAAACCTATAAAGGGCTAGTATTCTGCACACTTGGGGGTCGAGGCACTGGTAACCTAGAGCCCCAAATCGAATTATGCATGAAGGCCCCGCTTTATTAGACAGGAATTCTTGGGAAGCCTGAAGGATTAGGAAGTTTAGGTTTTAAGGGTCTTGGGTTTGGGGTTTAGGCATTTAGGGGTGTAGGGTTTACCTTAACTCTGAATAACCTGCCTTTTTAGGGTTCCTTGTTATGATTTCCTTATGTAAATCCTTCATGAGGTAGGTTATACAGGGAAAAGTTAGGGTTTAGTGGCTGAAAGGTTTAAGGGTTTGGGGTTTTTCGGAGCCTCGGAGGCGATACTCTGCCGGCCGATGAAGCCACTGCAGATGTGGAACATCTCCCCAAACTGCGACCTCCGAAGGATTTAGGGTTTAGGGCTGGGGTTTAGGGTTTAGGGGTTTAGGGTGTGACCTTGGGAATTGAGAAATTAGGTTTCACCAAACTGCGACCTCCGAAGGGCTTCCCGGAGGGTCCATGTACCCAAATACTATCCCTAAGCGTTCCTAATTTAAGGGTTCTTTAAAGGGTTCAGTATGGGGTATTTAGGGTATATGAGGGTCCATGTACCCAAAGAGTATATACTTTGGCCCCAAAGTACCTATATAGGGACTACTTTAAGGCCAATGTACATACATATGAGCACATGGACCCTTAGGGTTTGGGAATTGAGCAATTAGGTTTATAGAGCCGATAGACGTCTGCAGGGCTTCAGTTCAGATTTCAGGAGCTTAGGGTTGGAGGTCATGGTTGCTGGCTTCAGGGCTCCGCATGTTCATCTTAAGGCCAGCCACTGTCTTGGCTTCTGGGTTACGCAGAGTAGGGGCCGATGGGAAGCCAGATCTTCGGGTGTACCCTGCGGCTAATACTGCTGATGGACAAAATCCTGCATGACCCTCGGGACTCTAATGGGAACTATGGTATATTCCTCATAATGGGTAATGCAGGATTTGGTCCATCAGCCGTATAGCAAGCAGAGGCCAGAAGTTCGGAAAAATCATAATCGTTGTGCCCTCAAAGTATAGGGGAGTTCCAGCAGTGGTCATCCAAAACCCAATTTCCAACCTGCTAGGGTTCAATATACACACCCCAAATTCGCCATCGGAATCCTGCATGGAACCCCGTCTCTCATCTTCGTCGTCCTCTACGAGCATGAACCACTACTTGTCCAGAATTTGCTCCAGATAATGCCCTAAAATCCTAGCAAACTGAACCTTAGACCCTGCTGAATAAAGCAAGAATCTCACTGTCAAGGTTGTCCGGAATCCGCCTCAGGCCGAAACCCACAAATCCTGCAGACACTCAACCCTGAACGCCTGAAACCTGCAGACAGGCACCTCGACGCTGCAGGCCGGATGGTGCGCACGGTGTCGAATCGTGAGTTGAGATACCTTGGTCTAAGAAGTTGCAGATGTTGCAATCAATAGCTTTCCGAGTTGTTGCTGAAACCGAACACCCCACATCAAACACCTTACTCCTGAATTCCAATTCCGAAATAAAGCCCTAAGCCCTAAATGTCCAAAACCCCAGAGGCATCAAAGCCGCGAAACTTCAATGCCCTCAAGGCGTTCGCACTTCTACGCCACAAGGCCCTGAATCCCTCCACACCGAAAAGCCCTTACACTAAATCTAAAGGCTCCAAAAGCAGGCCCACGCAGCTAAAATCCCAAAGCTACACCCGGAACCCTGAACATCCTATGCCACGATTTGGGGTTTTACGTGGACCCCAACAGTATGTAAAAAAAAGCTTGTTTTAGGTCTTGGGCCGTTATTTTACCTACTTTCGGGGGTTTAGGTAGGGTTTAACAGTTGCAAAGCACGCAACAAACTCTACACTCAAACCCCCTAAACTAATTCAGTTCTTTACGCATGGGCCCCTCAGTGCTCTGCCCCAGGCCCCCCACGTCCTCCAGTGGTCCTGCTCCGCGCCGAACTGGCAGTGCAGGGTTTGATTTGACTTGCCTGTGGTTAGCAGGGAATGGAGGCATGGGGACAACAAGGGTTACTATAAGGGGTCTATAAGGGTACTATAATATAGTTAGTAATCCTAGAACTTACTTTTGGTTAGTAGGGAATGGAGGAATGGGGTACAATTATAGCTACCATTACTACCATTCTTCCATTCCCTACTACCCAAAGGTAAGGTGAAGGCTCTAGGACTACCTATACTCTCCACTGTAGTTCCTTTGGCTCCATGATTATTATTATTATTATTATTACTCTTATTATTATTATTAGGATCCTGTTAGGTAACTCAAAAAGGAACTACAATGGATAGTATGGTATACCGTACGAGACCTGGTTCCTTGTCATGATTTCCTTATATAAGTCTGTAAAAAGAGTAGGGTTTGTGGGGTTAACATAGGGTCTGCACAGGCGAACAGGTGTGGCGGTTCAGGAATCTCAGATTGAGCCCGCGCCGAATTTCAAGGCTTACGGTTTGCAGCTTGGGTGATCCCTATAGTCCTGAGGCCGCGACACTAGAGGCGTTCTCAGACTCTGTCGCCCTTGACCATCCCCAAACCGTCTCACCTTATTATAAACCCGAACTCCTACATTCCCAGCGCACCTAAGTACCCCAAACATTCGTGAATCCTGAACCCCCCAAACCCTGAACACTGAACATCCCTAAACTTGGAATAACCCCAACAAACCTATAAGCATCCCTCTCTCTCAGCAACTCTAAATCCTACACCCGCAACTCTGAAGCCACTTAGAATTAGTTGTATGAGTTCCTTACTGACATTAGGTGATTTCCATTGACTTGGAGACGGTAAGGAATCATAATGAACAAAAAGCTCAGCAATCCTCCGAAACACGGAGGCCCGGCCATGCTTCGTACCACGAACCAGCCACCGAGCCGCAAGGTCCTTGGCTTTATTTGCGGTTTAGGGTTTAGGGTTTAGGGTAACAGGGTTTCGATATGGGAGTTTCGATAGAGGACCTCAATACGGTACCCTAAATGGTAGGATCCTGATTATGAATTATGAGGACCCCAAAATAAGGTACCCCTAATTTTCGGCAACTCCCATATATACATATATTGGAGTATAGAAAGAAAACGGGGACTATGAGGGGCTAATGTTCTTACTCCGCTCGGATGTGCTGAAGGCGGGGTTCAGGGATTGGATGTCGGGTCGGGGTTCGGCTTACCCCAAACCTATACTGAACTTAGAACCCTAGCAAAAATCATAATTTTAGCTGTTTCTTAGGGGTTATAATAGCAAAAAACTAAAAACTATTTCTAAGTACCCCTAAGAAAACCAGAAGAAGAATCGGACTTCGCTGCATCTCTCCGCCCTCGAGTTCTCTGGCTGACTCGACCGGAAACAGGTCGATAGGGAGATAGACAGGTGCTGCGCATACTTAATGAACATACAAGTTCATAGTGTTTAGGGTTTAGGGTTTAGGGTTTAGTTCATAGTCTACAAAGTCCAACCAGCCCTGTGTAGGGCTGCCTAGATTAACTTGTCACCGGAGGTCCTGGTAATGAACATCCTGCTTTGGCTCGTGATCAATACTAAAGCCATTTGCCTCGGAGCTCCCATTTCGTGTCGCCATGGTTTTGGGGCATAAGTCCTGTCTCGCTCATGTACAGCCAAGCATCTTATCCATAATCTTGGCGGCATACAGCGAGCCTTGTGCATGCAAGGGGCAATTATCGAGGACCCAGAAATCTCAAGCTTGCAGGGCAACCAATGCCAACAACATCTTGGAGGCCATACCCTCAGGGGTATGCTATGGTTACAGTCATGGCATGACTGTACAAGGGATACAGGCGGAGCAGTCGAAATACTTTTTATGTTCCCTTTAATGTGAGAGTATCGCATACTCCACCACCCTAAGGCCCTAGTGTCAGGATAGAGGCCCCTAAATGCGTCAGCCCCTTCATGGAGACTTCACGATATCCCTTTCCTATGTGAGGGATCCATGCTGAAATCAAAAGTGACCCAGAATCCTAGACCCTTCACTACAAGATCCCTCCGCAAGTGGGACGAGTATGAGTTAAGGGGTGCTCCTCTACTGCGAGACTTTAGCAGAACTTTAGCATCTATACAAAAAACTGAACAATCCTCATTGAGGGCCGTGGGTTGAGGGTGTACCGCAACCCCCAAAAGTATGCCGAATCATGGCCCAAGACCTATACATTGCATTATTCTGCATACTCTTGGGATCCATGCAGGCAGTCCCTAAACACTAAGCCCCTAATATTATAGGGCTCAGTGAGGGCCGAGCATTGCATCGAGTTCACGTGGTCTTCCGGCTTAAGACCTGCGAAGGCGCGCGAGGACGGGGCTCGCGGCGTTCATGGCTTTCGACGAAGTGTGCGGTTTAACAGTGTCTTACTATGCTATACAGCTATAAGATGATGTTCTGTAATATAAACCGTAACATATACTACAAGATACCGGAACATACTAGAATAAGAAAACTATGGCGCAGGCTTGGGGAAGGATCTGTGAAATAAAACGTGCCAAGAAATCGAAAACACTGTCGCCTAGCTTTGTGTCAGGATTTAGCGTTTCGGGTTGTAGCGTGGAATGTCAGGACTTGCAGAACATGTGTTGCTCCACTTACAGGCCCCGCCTACCACCTCGATCTCGACAATGACACGTCTGACTTACGGGTCCCATGTACCGAGGTATCATATATTTCCTCAAAACACCATACCCTGGACTTACTGATTTGTTCCCGTAAACCTGAACCGAAAAAACAACCTATAAGCCCTAAATCCGAAAGCCCCATCCTAGTCCTTCTGAAGTGCCCTTTTGCGATTGCCTGTCACACGTGGGGCGAGGTCGGATAGGACAACATCTGCCTTCGTCCCGCCAAGCCTTCGGCTGTGTTATCCTTCCCCCCGAAACCTCAGACCTTTTTTCGGATGCCTCATTGGAGCGGACGGTATCAGGATTTAGATTTTAGGAAGATGTTGATTTCTGCTCTTTGGACGTTTCGGGTTCAGACTTAGGCTACACGATAGAAGCTCGAATGCAAAGGGTCTTAGGGTTTCAATTGGCAGTTTATGTCTGCATGGTCCTGGGGTTTAGGTTTATGGTGCTTCAAGTGAAAAGCTATAATTAGGATTTATATAGTGCTGCAAATACCGGGGAGCAAATAACTACAGCAGATATAACAAATCACCAAGCATTGCGTCATGTGCTATATGCTTCACTCCTGAGCCTCCACGTCATCCCGTTTAAATGAAAGTGCAGTTCTTTCTGCTGCTATGCCCCAGCAGGGCGACCCTAAAACACAGAAAGGGGTGGAGCTCTGCAGACCCCTGGTTCACAGTTCAGGGTTTAGGGTTGTGCGTTTAGGATTTGGGGTTTATAAGGCTCCAAAGACCCCAAAACCACCGTTCTGAACGATCACTTTGACAAGTATCCTACTGTTGTCATGACAGGCCCTGCATGGACATCCATGTCGTGGTCCTATTGTCTCCAGGATAGGCAGGAACCCCCAAGCCGTGGTGTGCAAACGGAGGCTCCATAGTAGTTCCTTTCTGTGGTTCATGTTTAGAATCCTATAAGGTACTCCCAAAAAGGAACCACTATGGAGCCTATGGGTATAGGGTTCAGGGTAGTTGCAGGATTTCTTGTCCCTCAACCGGGCAATACCAAACTTGCTAGCTAGATTTCATGCGGGACACTGCGGTGGCAAGTTCACGAAATAAATAGAGGGTAAGACCCTACCCCTGTTTTAGGATACCTAGTTTTATGGTTGGGTTGTCTTATATATAAACAAATAGATACCTAAAGAAACCGGCAGGGTATGACCCAACAGGTATGCAGCTGCACGGAATATACTCGAAGCTTGAGAAGGGCTCCAAACAGCTACAGCAAAGAGAATTAAGAAGCCCTACGCCCTACACGCTAGTCAACGCGGTTTGCCAATATAGGGGCCTTAATAAGTAGAATATAGGGTTTTAGGACCCATTAGACTATATGTATAACAAGGCACCCCCAAAATGGTATAGGTAATTACTTAGGCCCTTTTTTTAGTCCTGTAGTGGAAGCCAGCCAAAACGAAAAAAGGAGCTACGATGGAGACACATAGAGACTATAGAAAAATGCTGCAGAGCCTTCCGCGCACACCGGAAGGGGCCGAATGTCCATACACCGAAACACGAACTCCCGAGTGGAACCCGGGTGTCAGAAGCTGGGCCGTCCGCGCATCGATGATGCTTCGAACGGTCCCCTGCCGTTGAAGGTTGAAGGGTTCGGGCTTAGATGTCTGGGGTTGGGATGGGTTGGGGGTTTCGAGCAGAAGCATTTCAGGTCTATAACCCGACAAACACCTTGCCAACGACCAAAACCCACAGCCCTAAACCCCGAAATCCAAACCATCAGCTGCTGCAAGCAGGATGGGGTACGCTCCATTTGGGGTCTTGGGTCTACGGCATCCGGATCCCCACAGTTTGTTCATCAGATGGTTCGAAGAGTAGCTGTAAGCAGCACCAACCAGAAAGCCAGGTCAGTACCAAAGCTGCACAGAAACAGCATTGATCGTAAGAGCAGCTCTCGGCGATAACGGCCGAAACATCCGATGACCGAACCCTAAGCTGCACAAGAACCGGAAAAGTGGTTGAGATGCGGCTGCTTAGGCTCGTCAAGAGTCAAGAGCAACCCTGGGATCCTAAGTCTACTTGAAGGCTTGCATGAAGGCTCAGAGGACGCAGTATGTATCGCTCACGATAAGCCCATAATTTATAGCTCACTAACTATACGGAATTGATTGAAATCACAACTAGCTAGCTTGCTGGTATAGAAAACATAACGATGCAATAAGCCAGCCGGTTTTATAGGTCAGTGATTCGGCTCATGGCGCGTAAGGATGCTACATAGGAGCATTAAGAATTGGAATAAGGTTTTGAGGCCCAGTCTACTCTAGTTTGAACAGTATTTAGGCCCCAATATTACGTGCAGTGCAGACCGCGCTTGGCACACAGCTCCTTTCCACAAGTGCATGCATGGCCCGGTCGGGCCAAAGTCCGTTCATTGTCAAATCTCCTCTCTGAATTGCTGCGCAAAGCACTGATACTATCTAAACCCCTGAAAGTAGGTAAAATAATGGCCCAAGACCTATAAAAGGCTGTTATTTACATACCTTTTGGGTCCAGGTAATCCCTAAACCCAAGGTACCTACTTTTCGATATAAGAGAACCGAACCATAAAATTAGGTATCCGTGGGTATGACCCTCCAGATACTGCGCAAAGCATTGATACTAGGTTCCACAAAGGGGATTCCGCTATATACAGAGCTCGCTGCTCCTAATCTTCATATGGTCCTTGAAGGGCTGCCGTATCCCTCAAGATCTTCTCCGCTTCAAGAGGGCCCATGCACTGCAAGCGGAGGATGTTATCGAAGATGAGCTGCACATCACTGCTGAAGGGGGAGGGCGGAGGAGTCGGAGTCGGAGGAGCAGCCGCTGGCACATTGATGTACCCTCCCCACCCGATTCCGTCTGGCATAAGCATCTGGTTGGAGTTCTGGGTCATGGTACTCATCATGTTCCACGAGGCGGCACTTGGCATCTCTTCACCTTTCAGGGCCCTCAACAGGTGGGATTAAGGTAGGTGGGGTAATCCCAAAATTAGAGTCCTTACCCAAAAGGGATCCTCAGTCCCTACCTTCATCCCACCTTTTGAGGTCTCCGAACCTTGAAACTCGGGAACAGCGGGGCTGAATGCGTAATTGTATAACTGCTCCCCCTGGGCGCGGTAGTTGTGAAGTAGCTCCTTGCCGCGTTTCATGTCGAAGTCTTGCCACGGAGCACTTCTGTATCGCCTGGCACTTACCTAAACCCCCAAAAGTAGGTAAAGCAATGGCCCAAGACCTGTAAAAGGCTATTATTTTACATACTTCCGGGGTCCAGGTAGGATTTTCGTCATATCCTTGCTATGGAAGCAAAGCGCGAGTGGAGGAGCAACGTCAAATTTCTGCGAACAGATGTATGTGCAAATACATATCTTGAAATGTGTGGACAGGCAGGCAAGCAATGAATGGAGACATAGAAGGAAGGAAAGAAAGAAAGCTACATGGATAGATATGGGAGTTCGAAAATAGGGGACCCTAATATAGTACGCTAAATAGCAGGATCCTTATTATAAGGACCCCAAAATAAGGTACCCCTAACTTTCGGAAACTCCCATATAGGTAGGCAGGTCGGTAGGTAGGTCGGTGGGTCGGTAGCCGGTCTGTCTCTCGGTGGCTTAGTAGGAAGAAAGGAAGGTCGAATGTTGTTTACTATAGGGACCTTAATGATTATAATAGAATTTGGGGGTCCATTATACTATAACTGATATAAATTATAAAGAACCACGCAAAATAGTATAGGTAATTATTAAGGCCCTCTGTTGCGTGCGCTTCGCGGAGGCCTGCCAGGGCCTGTTTGCCTCCACTGCTCCCATTCGGTGCGGCGGCGTCGGCCACCGTACGGCATGGTCGCACTACGCTCTGGTTTCTAAGCCCTGGGCCGGGACGACCACCGATCTTTGAGCAACACCTGCGCTGTTCAGACCACAATACCACCACAGTCTGTCTCCAGACTAGAAGCCCTCAGCTGCCCTGCCAGCAACGAGCAAAGCAAACACAAGCCAACTGCAAACATCTCCTAAACCCGGCACCCATGAGCAACATCACACACAAGCAGTACACTTATGTCGTCGTTCGCTAATGTAAATAGTTTTCGCTAAGGGAGAAAGTAACAGTGAATAGCTCAAGTGATGAAACTCGTACACTATGTCAGATCATTTCGCGTGGGGCTCCTCATGCAGGGGCCTCCATGATTAAAGATAGAATTCCGGGTAAACTTTGCTATTATGCCTATAAACGGAGCCCTAAGACATAGTAGTATTGGTAACTATAGTCCGCCCCCTTTAGCAATTACTCCCAAAACCCTGAGTCCAGATCGGGACCAAAACGAAAACAATGGTTTGGGGTTTGGGATCGAGTTGCCATACAATGAAGGCGTGAATATTTAGTCTAGCTGGAATGGGGTGGGGTTTCATGACTGGAAGGATGCATTCGCATATGAGGCATTTCAGCTCTTTATGAGCGGTCGGCCTGCAATTTCCACTCAACCAAACCACTCACGAGAGCAAACATGTACGATATTTGGGTTTAGGGTTTTGGGTTAAAGCTTTGAGGTCAGGTTTAGGAATTCAAAACTGCTGAAATCATGTTCAGGATTTACGATTCGCAAAGCCTTGGACCCAGGCTTCCGGATGGGTTTTGGGGGTTTTGTGTGACAGTGTAGGCTTTGCAGGGGTTTAGGGTGTGGTATAAGAGGGCTAGGAGTGTAAGGGCCTAGATGTTGTTTAGGGACCCGAGACCTCTAGACGCCTGGTGTCGACGCCCATTAGTCTCAGAGTGGGTCTTAGGCTTCTATAGTGTTTACCCCGGGGCCCCAAAGTAGTTCATTCTTGGGAGTACCCTATAGGATTCTAAATATGAACCCCCAAAAGGAACTACTTTGGGGCCTTTGGGTAGTTTAGGCTTTACAGGGAGTTTGCAGTTTCGGCGCTCTAGGGTCAGCGATCTTACGTAGCTGAATGGCCTGCTTGGCCACATCTCCCTGGATGAAGGTGTGGTACTCCAGTGGGTCCATGTAGGTGGAGTCCACACCTGCAGCGGGGGCGGGGTTACAGTGAAGAAGCTGGTTCAACCGAACAACCTATCACTCTGCGTCCCGAAAAGTCCATGTACCCTTTACAGTACATGCTTAAGCCTTCAAAGGTGTTCGAAGATAGGTAGACCCTACACCCTAAACAGGTGTTGGCCGAAGTACATCTACTCTTCTTAGGGTGGTGTTCACCGATCTTCGATTTTGTAGACAGTATATACCGGGTTCAGGGTTTAAGGATTCGGTTTCGTAGAACGGATCAGTAGCCTGAGGAATGAGTCTTATGACTCATGATTAGGGTAATTTCATCTGTTGTAGCTTGCAGCCCTGATCCAGGCACATGCAACCACACCCATAAGTGCCCATGAGACCACAAAAATCCCATGGAAGCGAAAGAAGCTCAGCCCCACGCCGATGACCTTGCTAGAAGAGGAAGAGGCTTGCGCCCTCAGAAAAGCGATGTTGAAGGCGTGAGACTACAGCTTCAGAAGCGTGTCGCCAGCAGGGAAACGCGGAGTTTGTTACGCTGCAGAGTCTGTTGCCACGAAGTTCGGGCAGCTACTCCGAGTTGTGCTCGGCTTTGTTTGAAACCTCATGGGCCCACTGTCGGAGCTTTAGTGCTCATGAGTTTGGGGGCTGAGAATGACGGTGGAAGGGATTCGGAGCTTCGACACAGACAGGCTCCAGGCCGGCTTTGATAGGGCCTGCTTGGCTTCTTGTGAGGGCCTTTTTGGGGACTGTGCAGCTTGGGGTTTAGGGGTTTTGGGTTTGGCAATCGGAGGATGCAGCCATCCTTCCGGTGCGAAAGGTGACAGACAGGAGCAGGCACGAATAACTAGAAACATCTGAAAGCACAAGTACTGCCAATGCAGCTACAGAATACGGTACAGTGTACTCATTCAGCCTTAAACGACCTAGCCTTAAACTCTGAACGTGAAACCGTGAACCCCAAACCCCTAAATCTTAAATCCTGGAATCTCAGAAAGCACACAAGATGGAACCCAACCACCGTCAGATTGGGGCGAGAAATACTCTTGGGCCTGTAGGCTTGATGCTTTAGGCCTCTGGGAGTTAGGATTAGGGGGACCCTTGGGCATATAGACCCTCTCAATAAGGCCCCTTTTAAGAGAGCCAGAAGTAGGGTTCAGAAGGGGTACCCTTTAAGGGGTCTCCCTAATAATACTACTTAGCCTCGAAGGAGCATTCGCTTTGGGCTTGTGGGCTTTAGAGCTATAGGATTCCTTTAGCTCAACAGATGCAGTGGCTGTGCCTCTCCACGGCCACCTCACGAAGTGTTTTCAAGAGCAAGGCTTAGGGTTTAGGGAGTTTGCAAGTAAGGATACCTATAGTCTCGATTGTCACCAGATTTAGGTAGTTTGGTCTGGCATCTGGATGAAGTCTTCACAGTGTAGGTTCAGTGCTAGGAATGCAAGTTCGCAAAACGAAACGCACCCGTAAATCTATATAACCAAGAATCACTACCATGCTAAACTCGCGTATTGGATCACTACCTACTTTCCCCGGTAAATGGGAGCGGCGGTCAAACAAAACTCGAACAAAACAGCAAGGTACGCTTGGGACGTAGACCAAGGGTGAGCGCAAAACCTATGTACCTGCATTTCTGCGAAGGATCTTCAGCTTACGCCCGCATTACATCACAAACCCTAAAAACGGACCCGAAACCCCAGCAACTCCACACGCTACAGCCTGAAGCAGATTGCGTTTTTTGTGGGTTTTGCGCTTCTACCCATAGGCTCCTTAGTAGTTCCTTTTTGGGATTACCTTATAGGATTCTAAATATGAAACCCAAAAAGGAACTACTTTAGAGCCCTAGGGTAGGTATTCTATCTAGGTCCAGGGGATGCGGATATACGTTGCTCGAGGCCTGTGGCATGCTTATCAGGACCTGAACACCCCAAAGGGCCCCAAAGATAAATGGGAACCGGAATCTTACAGAACAAAGCCTCCACGTTTTGCGAGGAGCATGTACCTATAGGGTCATACCCTAACCCTTCTTGATGGTACCTACTTTTCTATATAAGAGAAGCTAACCATAAAACTAGGTATCCTAAAACAGGGGTAGGGTATGACCCTCTAGGGAAATCCCTGTAGACCCTAAAAACCTAAACCCTAAACCCCTAAACCCTAAACCCTCAATCCTGTAGACCCTAAACCGGACACTCTAGGCATACAGCAATGGTGCTGGGGTCTCGGAGCTTACAACTTAGGATTTCAAGTTTCGGCTGGCGGTGAGTGTATGGGGCCTCTGGGTCGTCTTATTTCAGCTGTTGGAGGAAGCCCAGAACCACCAAAAATTGCCAGACCACTGCAAAAACCCTCGAGACAAACCCTAAACCCTAAACCCCTAAACATCAGCGCTTCAATGAATGACCCTATAAGATGGCCTCAGACCAGCCACCGGGGAAGCAACCCAGATCAAGGACTACCTGGCGAGGCTTCAAGACTCTGAGTCTCTCAAGCTCTGTTGGAAATTGCCCTAAGGGTCCATGTGGGTGGTTGTCAAAAGTAGGGTCCCTTTTACCTAATATTTAGGGTACCCAAAAAGGAACCCTAATTTTGACAACCACCCATGTAGTCATAGTGTTGATGGACAAAATCCTGCAACTATGGGAACTATGGTATATTCCTTATAAATAATGGGTCATGCAGGATTTTGTCCGTCAGCAGATTGTATGTACATTGGTTTTAAAGTAGTCCCTATATAGGTACTTCGGGGCCAAAGTATATACGTGGACCCTCAGGTTTAAGACGTTCAGAGATTGTTGCAAGTGTTGTCCCTAATCGGATCCCCTTCCAGATCCCTATCTGCGGGTTCGTTCTTGCGGCTCCTGCTGCCGGGATTGAGGATTTCGATTCAAGATCGACTAGGATACCCAGTAACCTAAGAATAAAAAGGCCTCTCTTTTTGGTATTGGGTAACTTTATAAGGAACCTAGGACTACAAAAAGGGAATAAGGGTACTACTGGGCATCCTAGTCGAAGGAGTGAGGGCCTGCAAGGGCCTCATGATTTGAGGGGTCTTCGTTCCCGTACTTGGTGTCTCCGAAAGTCAGGTTCGGGTTTTGGAGGTTCCAGAAGGGGCAGTTGGTGTAGCATTGCTGTCTCTCAGAGCTAAAGAAAGAAGCGGACTCCCCCAACCGTCTTCATGGAGACGGCAGATATAGCCCTGGGGCTCCAAATAGCCCAAAGTAGGAATTTTTTATAGACTTTAGGCCCCAAAGTAGGTACTATTTGTATACTTGGAGCCCCAGGGTATTGCTTCTCCCCGGTCCTTGCTTGCGCGTGGGCGCTTGCAATGGCACATGACAGAGGTCGCGAAGGTCTAAACCGCTGGAACCAGCAAGTACTAATTTACGAAGACCCGGCCGTAAGAATACCTGATATAGTTCTGCTGCTGGGATCCTAAGTCGTAAATACCCCTAGACCGCCCTAAACCCTGAACCCTAAAAACCTTAAACCCTCCCAAAAAGAAGCTCTGGGGCTTAAATCACACCACCCTAAATAATTACCTCTACTATATTGGGGTTCCTTATTATAGTTACAGTATCATGGGCCCCCAAACCCTATTCTAGCTATTAAGGCCCTTTTATATACACCCGGACCTTTAAGGCCAACGGCCCCAAGTGTCTCTAAAGTTGCAAGAAGAATTACGGCATTAAGAGCCCTCAGCAGGCTGTGCCGGGCCCGCCGTGTCAGGTCTCAGTATGGAAAAGCGGTCGTCCATCTGCCTGCAAAGGGGAGCAGGTTGTGGTAGATGTTGTTTTTGTTGGGGGCCGCACTCAGCAAAGGCTAATTTC